GCCAAGCATGAGTTTAAGCCACCGGGTTCAGGATCTGAACCGCAGTGGACTACATGGGAATCCAGCAACATAGCCATTATGCTAACTGCTGGTTCCCCTAGTGCATGCTTGACTCTGCTTGGTGCCTGGCTTGTTACAGATCTCCGTCCCAACAGACATGTCTTCAAGAGCAGAGTTTATCTTTTGACATCTTAGAGGCCAGAGAACCAGTGAAGAAAGGCATTCTAAAAGTTGATTCCTGATTATATTACAGATATATTGTAGAAGGTAAGTTTCAAAGCTTTTTTTGTCTGAGTATGTTGGTTGTTTCTCATACAGCTATCTAATGTAATCTTGTTATTTGTCTGAAGGGAGAATATAGGGATGCTTTGGGCTCTCGGTCATGGTCATAGGTATATCTCAAGATGATGCTCCTGAATCAGAGCTAGCTGGTGGTGTGGCGGTTAAGGCCCCTGGGTCCCACACTGCTGACTGGATAGTTTGAGTACCAGACCCAGTGGCTTCAACCCCCCCCTCAGTTCATGTGTGTGGGTGCCCAAAATCCCAAGAAAAGAATGGAAGAGAAGGGACTACGTGGCCATCCCCCCTGGGGATGCTTTCTCACTTTCCCTCTTTGTCTTCTCTAGCGATCACATGCACCCTCTGGCAAAGTTACAATAAAAAACATTAAAAAATTTAAAAAGTACCCAAGAAGTCTGAAACTTTAAATGTAAAGAAAGGATTAAAAGTCTAAGCAGATATTAGGTAAAATCTTTCCCATTGTTCTCTATTAGACACACTGAGCAGTGGACCAACAGTCAGGAGAACAGAGAAGGGTCTCAGCTCCATCACAGCCTGTGTGATGCAGGAACAGTAATCTGTAGGAACCGAGTGAGGTTACTGATTTAAAGCATTCCGTCTGTCACGACAGAATCAGTCTGAGCTTCACTGTCTTCGAGCTTCCATGACTCCTCGTATAGTGTTTTACCTGTCACTGCACACACACACGTCTGCACATCACAGGCTCTCTAAGTCATGCTCTTCTGTGGTGCGATGTAGAAGATGTGGAAAACTGGGAGTCATGGTGTGGGTTCAAATTTGAGCTCTTATTACCTGAATGAAGGGGTGTTTTTGTTTTTACTATGCGTTGTTAATAAGTATTCCATAGGAGACTAAGGAGAATTCAATTAAAAATATGATAGGAAAGCATTTTCTTTTAACTTGCCAGAGGGTAAGAGCACTTACCAGAGTGAGACAAGGAGAAAACACCTCCCAATGGGGCTTGGTCACATCACAATCCATTCTCTTCCATTTCTCCATCCTGTTGGGATTTGGGGCATGCAAATAGACTATCAAATGTTGGGTCTATTTTCTTCTCCTTAAAACTTCATGGCTTTGGTGACTGTCTCAATGATTAGGATGTGGCAGAAGTGAAACTGGGTGACCAAATCATGACAGGTTTTTCCATCTGGTTCTTTCTTTGGAAGCTCGCCTTGGGAACCCAGTTACCATGCAGTGAGAAATCCAGGCCACAATGTAGGTGTTTGGTCAGTAGCCCCAGCTAAGGTTCCAGGGACAGACAGCACCCCTGTCAGACACGTGATCCACAAGCCTTCAAATGCTTCCAGCCCCCAGTCTTTAGGTCACCCCTAGTGGGTGCTAACTAGGACACAGACAAGCCCTGCTATAGTGAAGATTGAGGTCAACACAAATGGAGACATTGTTTCCTGCTACTAAGACTTATTATGAAGCTATTAAACCAGGAACTCATGCTTTGGTCAGTGAGAAACTAGCAAATCTGATGAATGTTAATGCCCTTTCTTGCTGTTGTGACCTCTGGGACCGCCATAAGAACAAGCTTGAGCTAGCCTGTTGGGGAGCACTGCGGTATCTTACCAGACCGTCTAACTACCAGACATGTGAGTAAGGCCATCCTAAATCAGCCAACTGCAGCAAAGATGCCAGTTGATCACAACTTCATGGATGAGCCCAGAAAAACCACCTGTTTGTGCCCAGGCCAGATCACTGACCCATGGAATCATGAGTTACTAAAAGACTGTTCTTTTTTTTTAAAAAAAATTTTTTAATTAACTTATTATTCAATTTGACCAGAGAGAGACAGAGAGAGAAAGAGGGAGAGTGAGAAGGCAAGTTGCCAGGTCCGAGACTTGAACCATGGTCAGCCATGTGGGAGCCCAGCACCTTAACCACCACACCACCCGCCGGCCCCCAAAAGACTGTTATTTTAAGCCATTAAGTTTTAGAGTGGTTTGCAGCACAGAAAAGGCTGATATCTTTAGCGCTTTAAGAAATTAAGAATGAAATATTCAGCATTATCTAAATGTTCATTAAGAGATGAATGGTCAGACATATGACAGAATCCCATATGATTGATAAAATGAATGAATTAGATCTGACAATAAGTCTTAAACAATGAAATTTTGAGTGAAGAAAGCAAGTTATACAATAGTAAATGACACTATAACACTGTGAATATACAGTAATACTAATGTTATTATTTACTTTCTTTAAGTTTATTTATTTCTTCCATGACAGAGAGAGAGAAACAGGCATCCCCAGCAGGATTTTCACTCTGTGGCTCATCTGCAGTCCCAGCCAGCCCAGGTCATGGGTGCATGCACATACCTGGTGTGCTTATGGAGCTCACAGGATATGAATCCAGGACCTCTCCCATGTAGGTCTACTTGTGTTAACATTGTGACTTCTCCAGCCTTTACCGATACTATTAACAAATATGTCTACATTACTTAAACACAGACTGGAACAGTGAAAGCCAAACTCATGCTAATGGTGTAAGGGGTGTGCAGTTCTCGTGGGGCTAATGTTGAAATGAGACTTCACCTTTATTTGTAATGTTTATTTAAAAAGCAAGAGGCAAATCCAATGTACTTAAATGATAGTTGTTAAACCAGGGGATTTTATATATATATATCATATATATATATGATATATATATGTTTAATTATATTTGATTACATTTTTAAAAATTTAAAAATAGAACATTTAATGAGGGTAGGATGGGGAAGGCAACATCTTCTAATCATTCCCGACAGCCTATAATTATTATTATTATCTAATTTGCTAGAGGGCATATGTGCTTGCCAATCAGAGATAGAGAGAATCTCCCACTGGCATAGTCATGTTGCAGTTTCTTCTCCTGTATTTCTCTCTCCTTTTTGGATTCTAGGCATTTGTGGACATGCACCTGGCATGTTCTTCAAGTTGCTGGGTCCTGGACTCCAGTCACACAGCCAATCATGTGGGTTCCAGCCACTTCAACCACTATGCTACCAGCTGGCTCTATTTTTTTTTTTTTCCTTATGGAAGTTCCATTGTGGAATTAGTGTAGAATCAATAAAAACTTTGTTCCCATTCCCTAAGAAAATGCAAGTATTAAATGAGAAATAAAATGTTTATGTTTTTCTATAGAAATGTTAGCATAAGGGAAGAATATATGAGGAACGACAAAGGAGCCCTATTTTCTGTACTGTACAATTCTGTTCTTGGTTGGAAACAAGGCAGTTTACTCTTTCAGGCTACTAGAGTCCTTGTATTACTCAGCTGCAGAATCCACTATATACAGCTTATATCTAGAATACACTAGGTTTTATCCTGCAAGCCTAAAAAAACATAGTTTTACTTCTTTTGCAGGTCTGAATGGGTAGCAACTGAGAATAGAACAGACTGACTTCATAGAAAGTGCTACTTTTAACACCCCCTGATACATGAGAGGAATGTCTAAACACTGCGTTCGTTCATTTGAATGTAGTTTCGTAACAAAAGATTCAGTGAGAGAAAGGAGGAGAGTGATTTTTTTGAAAAACACTGAAAGACTGGAATGAATTTCAGGCTCAAAACAGAATCCTCCATGGTTTTCTCCATATCCCTGCCCATGGGAAGTTCCTCTTGGCACATGGATTCAGCAGAAAGTTCACAATAGTGGGCTTCTTGTGGACTGCACCATATCTAAGAGGTTTCCTGACTCATGGAATTTTCCTATTACTTTTTCCTAACATTTGTGGAGGGTCCTCATCTTTCTTTCTTAAAGAAGCCCAGTAAATATTTGTTGACTTTAATTGAGTTTCAAAGATTTTTGACCCTGCTAGTTGATTTTGACCCTGCTAGTTGATTTTGACCCTGCTAGTTGAGCAACTGCAAGGTTGTTTTCAGTTGGTAGATATGTACTCAGACAGGAATCAGACATCACTGGAAAGGATCTTAATTGAAATTGAGTCCAGATTTATCATTTTACAGAAGGAAAAGCAAGGTCCAGAGTTATGAGGTAGCTTAGAAAAATAATTTTTCTGGTTGAGAAAACAAATCTAGCAAGGAAACAAAAGCCACACTGATGGTAGAAGAGGGCTTCTCAATCTATGTACATAAGGCCACATCGCAATCAAGATCCTTGTTTTCTCCTTCTCAGTATTTGGGAAGAAGACTTCTTGAAATGGTTTCTATAATGTACCATATTGATTTGAGATAGATTAAGTAACATCTGAAACACAAATTTAAGACTGGTTTGCACAAGAAACACCTGGAAAAAAAAATGATGGAACACCAAGATGTAGTCTTCATAATACTATGAAAACTTTGATTTATGTAGTATTAGTTGAGGCATACTAATGTCTATACATACTGTCAGTTTAGTATTAGTTAAGCACTAATTGGGCAGTTTGGGAACTATTAATTCTTCAGCTTTTCTTTTTTGTCCTTACTGCTCTTTGCATTTTAATGCTACTTTCTGCTACTTCACTGCTTATTATCCTTTTTACAAAAGAATGCAAAGGAAGGGAGAGTCAATGAAAGGATTTCTCTATTTAAGTGGCTCTAAAAGACTCCTGGAGGAAAACTGAACAATTGACAGAAAAGAGCTTTAGGCTTATCTTCAAATTTCAGGTAGGGCAGTCCTATCACAATAATGAAAAAGCAAAAGGGAATGATTATATAGATGTGAATTTTTAATATATATTTGAAAAATGCCTCATGTCATATGTCAATTGGTTAAAAAAAAGTCAATCCATTGTTCTTAACTGTTGATTTAATTGATGACAATGGGTTTCCCTGGATTTGGAAACAAACTAAAAGAAAACAGAAAAAGGATAACAGGAGCACAATCTAATTCTTTGTGGGCTCAATCCTTTCTTTGTATGTGTGTATATATATTTTTTCCAATCTCCATGCAGTCACATAAATTATATTTGCAAATATGACCAGAATAGAACACCAATGATGCATGATATCATTGTTATCCCAGAGTTGCTAAGATCTAGAAAGAATATATTTTCCCTCAGCTGTTAGGGGGTGTATTTGGCTGGTTTCTCCCCTTAAAGGCTTTCAGTCAGAGGAACCACAAGCACTCTGCTTACAGTCAGTGATGGTGTCATCGATAAAAACAGTGGTTTTCTTCGGTTCTCCAACCACTGCTCCCACAGGCATCTGGAGAAGTAATTCAAACTTCTCTTGACCCTCCATGATGGGCTGCCCTGGGTCATCAAGAATAGTCACTCGGAATGTCTGCATGCGCACTCCTGGGGCAAAGTCCAGATTTCGGCTGATGCCAACATAATCTGTTCCAGCTAGTGGGGAAGCAAAAGGCAAAGTGAGACTGTAGGATTCACTGTCATAAGTTTTCCTACTGAGAAAAACGAGAGGTTTCAACACGTCTAGAGCATTCTTCCAAGGACACTGCACTCTCAGAACCATATTTCGTGGGTTCCCTCTCTAGAAAGGGGAACTTTTCCCATGTGGTCTCCCACCCTTGCCATGCGCCATCCTCATAGTGCTCTCCATGTCCAGACCAGACACACTCCCTTCTCAGCACTTCCACTAAGATCCCACTTAGTACACCGAAGGCTCTCTGAAGACTATTGCAATTTGAAATGAAAGGATTCACCTTTTTTATTATTGACCTGGAAGATAACTATCATGAATCTTATTTTTTTAAAAGAATTATTTTATTTAACTTTATTTATTCATTTAGTTTTAATTTGATCAGAGAGGGACAGAGTAAGAAAGAGAGAGAGAGAAGAAGAGAGAAAGAAAGAGAGTGAAAGTGAGAAAGCAAGCTGCTGGGTCCAGGACTCGAACTGCTATTGGCCATGTGGGAATCCAGCGCCCTTAACCACCATACCACCTGCTGGCCCTATGAATCTTATTTTGACCAGAGTTCACTCATTCAGCTTTGCCAGACATCTGGTATAATCTTACAATATTCTGCATAATTTTACTCAGCCATAAAACTTCTGCCATTCTCTGGGTTGTAATCATTTTTTGGAATCTGGCCCTCCTGACCATGCAGCTTCTTTTCTACTTATTTAAAAAGTCATCAGATATAATGATAGCAACAAATGGTGACCAATGGGATAAAACAGGAACATTGGAGTGTTGTAGGTGAATACACAGTTATCCCTTACAATCCATTGAGGACTGGTTGCAGGACTCCGCAGATGCCAAAATAAAGGGATGGTCAAGTCCCTCATGTAAAATAGCACAGTATTTACTTAAAACCTGTGCACATCCTCCTGTGCGTTAAATCATCTCTAAATTATTTATAATACCTAATACAATGAAAATGCTATGTAAGTAGTTGCTATCCTATGTTGTTTAGGAAATAATAACAAGGAAAATAAAGGTTTATACACATTCAGTACAGAAATAATTTTTTTTTTTTTCAAATAATTTTGACCTGTGGTTGGTCAAATCTGTAGATGTAGAACCTGGGGTTACAGAAGGCTGGCCATATAAATAAATTGAGGAACAGAACATTTACACTGTGTTCAAGTATTACTCCATAAATACGTATTAATTACAAGAAAAAAAGATAACTTGGAATGGACAATCTGACAAGTACCACCTTAACTAAGTGATCAAAGTTAACATTATCAGTGTTATTGAATTAGTTGAAAAGTATGTGCCATTTGATAGAATGCAGTGAGAACACAGTGTCATCTCTGTGATAATTCTCCTAAAGATGCATCACCTACGTCTAATTATGAGGAAACAATAGACAAATCCAAATTGGGAGGACTTTCTATATATGACAAATACTGGTTTGTCATCTTCAAAAATGTCACAGTGATCAAAGTCAAGGAAGAACTAAGGAACTGTTCCAGACTGAAGGAAACAAACACAGACATGCCAATTAAATAGTTTGTAATTTGAACTGGATTCCTTAGTTATGAAGAATGATTTATGGCAATAGGTGAACTTGAGCAAAGTCTGAAGGTTAGATGGTTGAAATTTATCAAGCTAATTTCCTGATTTAAAACTTGTACTGTGGCCATATAGGAGAGTGTCTTTGTAGAAATTCTAAGTTTTTAAAGAGATAATTCCAACTATTTGGCAACTTTCTTTCAATGAATGAGGGGGGAAGCGTATCTTGGGCTGGCCCCATGGCCTAGTGATTAAGGGAGTCTGATCCCACATGGCTGACCACAGTTCGAAATCCAGACCCAGTGCCTTGAAAAATACACCAGGTCATTATAGATGCATGCCTAGTATCCTGACATGATAGAGAAATGGAGGAGAAGGAATTGCATGTAATCATGCCCCATTGGGGGCGCATTTTCCCTCTTCCTCTCTGTCTCTCTCTAGTGAGTGGACACACATTCTGGCAAAATAAAGTGTCTCACTGTTCTTATTACTTTTCTATAAGGTTGAGATTGTTTTAAAAATTTTTGAAAGGCATCAATTAATGACATTAAGAGAAAAAAAGATCGTGGTGGAAATTAGGCAGGACAGTAAGGGAAAAAAGGTATCACATCCCATGTGATTCACTGCTTACTTGTACAGTATTTAATCTCTGAGTCTCCATTTCATCAACTGCAAAATGGGGATAATTATAGCTACTTTATGAGGCTAATGGAGAGAATACAGACAATATGACAAAGATACTATCACGACCTCTCCAAATAGCAGACATTTGAGTACATAGGTGTTTTAATTATGAAGGTAATCAGCTATAATCATGCATTATAAATATGCATATACATGCATACACAAAATAATAATTATTAATTAAGCAACTGAAGCAGATGTAAAATATTTACAAGGTTCTATAAATGACCAAGTCTATACCAGTACCTCTGAATCGCTCCTGTTTAAGCCTATGAATCACCATCTCCAACATTAACATTACTTCCATCAGTTCCTCCTTACCTAAGAGCTAGCAGAAGTGTCATTACTTATCTGCAAAGAGATTTATTGAAATGAATTTGAATTTCTCTTCCCAACCAGACAGCAAAGCCTAATGAACCAGTTGGTCTATTTACTTTCAGTTCCATGGATACATATAGAATGAGAAATGATTCTCTCTAAAAATATTTTTTTTAAATGAAAGAAAAGGAAAACGAAGAACTAGTAAGGCTTATTAATGTTTCATATGCAACAACTTGCGATGGTCACTGTGTGTTATAACATGTCAGCTCTTCTACAAGCAACCAAAATGACTATTTTCATTTTCTTTAACTGGTTCTGGATATGTGATAAGACAGTCTTCATGTTTTCCTAGGTAAATGTGTATTTTAGTGTTTTGCAGCCTCATCAGTTAGTGTAGATTTTTACATTCTAGGTTTCATTTACAGTGTGTTTACTTTTACTTTGCTTTTGTCTTTAAAATATTCTCCCAGCTTTTGGGTGTGGTGTTAGTCCTGACCTTTGCTGGCTGCCCATGTCCCAGGAGACCCAAAGGTCCAGCTGCAAGTGGGAAAACGTGGGTATTGATAGAGATGGCAATGCCTCTTTCTTTTCTTGTTGGTCCTGTTGCCTTTTTCTGGTAAAGTAACTGACTTCACTGTCCATATGGAAAATGCAGATGTCAGGGGGTCAGGAAGACACGTGGCGTGGTGCCAAAGAAAAGGCCAGAGAGTAAGAAGTGAACATCTCCTACCCCTTAAAAGTCTAATGTGTGACTGGATTCTCCCAGGAGTTGGGATTTGCTCAGTCAGTATGTAAGTACTCCCATTAAAGTCACGTTTATGAGCAGGCTAAGGTATCTACAAATAGAAACCTTTGGAAAATTAATTTGAGCCTATGGTGATCATGTCCTTATGAATGAATCATAAAAGACTGCTGTTGGAATATTTCACTTGAAAACCGCAGAAGTCATTTCATATATAAACCATTTATGTGCTTGGGTAGGAGAAACTATTTATTTATTTGTATTAATGATAGAACATGTGTGCATGGAAGAAAGAGAAAGCGAGAAAGTGAGAGAGCGAGAGAGCGAGAGAAAACCCTCCATAGGGCTTGGCCACCCTACAATTTATTTCCTCCAGTCTTCTAGCCTCCCAGGGTCCTGGCCATGTGATTACGCTGACCACATGGGGAACTCGAACTGCAGTGGACATTTGGCTTCCAACTTAGTAGCTCAGTACACTACCAGCTGTGCCTCAAAGGAGAAACTGTAAATCAGAGCCTATCAGCAAAGACCAGGCAGGTTTGTGCTTGACAGTTTAGACCCTACCATCAATGCAGATCACGAGAATGACATATTGTCGAAGTGGCCTTCTCACCTTCTGCTGACTCCAGCTCTGTCCTCCTGGAGCGCACAGTGACAGATGTTGCCTGGGAAAGATCAGTGCCTGTTCTCCAGACACAAACCTCCACATAGCCAGCGCTCTCGTCCACGTGGTACTCAGCATCCCCAAAATGCAGGGTGGGCTCTAGGGAGGTACAAAAAGACAACTAAATACTTTGGCCTGCTACATCCTGTCTGTGCTGGCCCCACATCAGCTGGAGTATTTGTTCCTAATAGTTCAGCTTGACCCATCCCACAGGTCCTCTTCTGTATTTCTAGCCAAGAGAGAAAAAAGGAAAAACACAGAAAAGCCATGTCGAAGAGTGACTATGACTCCAGGGACAGCTGTGAGATAAAATCAGTTGGAATTCCATTCATTTTTCTTTTATTTATATATTTATTTACTTATTTTTGGTCATTGTTAGGTTTTCTTTCTTTCTCTTTCTCTCTCTCTCTCTCTTTTTGCCATGGACTACGTGGCTTGCTAGAGAGACAGAGAGAGGGAAAGTGAGAAATGAGCCCCCCAGAGGGAATGGCCACACTACAGTTCCTTCTTTTTCATTCTCCTCCTTGGATTTTGAGTACACACACGCACACATGTGACCGCCATGATCCTCAAGCCACTGGGTCCAGGACTAGAATTGTGGTTGGCCATGTGGGAATCCAGTGCCGTAACCACCACACCACCTGCTGGCCCCATTTTTCTGTTTTAAGAGCTATCACATGGGGGAAACTTCCCTCTTGGGGAAAATTGCTGAATCAGTTTCAACGTGTGAAAATCAGCTACTGTTTGGGAAAAGTTGGTGGGAAGTTGGGAGGCTTTTTCTTGGGGAAAAACTGTGCCTGTTGTTTGAAAGACAGTCAAGGCCGGGTTCTGAATCTATGAATGGCTGCTGTGCTAATCTCATGGCATTTGCTGATCATGAGGACAGGCAGAAATGCAGAGGAGGGAGTGAGGGCGAGGTGGGACCCTGTTAGCTGAGGTACTAGAATCATTTCCCCAGGAGTCAGAGAAGTAACTCCCTGAAAAGAGAAGGCTGAAGGAGACCAACACAGCACAAGGCTTTGACACAGGTGGAAGGGTAGCATATTTCTTCTTTGTGTGTGTGTCAGAGGTTACATGAACTTGCCAGAGAGAGAGAGAGAGAGATAGGGAGAAAGCACTCCCAATGAGAATGAGGACTAGTCACACTATAATGCCTTCTCCATCTCTCCTTCCTTTCAGGATTTTGGGCATGTATAGCCAAGCTCCTGGCATGTTTCTCAAGCCACTGGGTCTGAGACTTGAACTATAGGATTGGTATGTGGGATCTCTCTTCCCTAACTACCAGGCCATAGAGCTAGTCCAGGGAAATGTACCTCTTCTTCTTTTATTTATTTATTTTTTTTGAGAGATTTTTGTTATAGGGTGCGTGTACTCACCAGAAAGACAGAGACAGACAGAGAGACAGAAAGCGAGAAATCACCCCCCAGGGGGGATGGCCATACTGCAATCCCTTCTTCTCCATTCTCCTTTTAGGATCTTGGGCATGCACACACATGTGCCTGGCATGAGTTTAAGCCACTGGGTCTGGGACTTGAACCGTGGTAGACTACATGGGAGTCCAGCAACATAGCCATTACAACTGTTGATCCCGTAAATGTACGTCTTCTAAAATGAGGAAAACTTTTTTTTTTTTTGAGAGGTTTTTGCTATAGGGCGCGTGCGCTCGCCAGAAAGACAGAGACAGACAGAGAGACAGAAAGCGAGAAATCACCCCCCAGGGGGGATGGCCACGCCGCTATCCTTTCTCCTCCATTCTCCTCTTGGGATCTTGGGCATGCACACACATGTGCCTGGTGTGTGTTTCAAGCCACCTGGTCTGGGACTCGAACCGCAGTCAACTACATGGGAGTCCAGCGACATAGCCATTACGCTAACTGCTGGTCCCAAAAATGAGGAAAACTTTGATGGTGAGAAATGTTAAGATTTGGACAAGCAAACATGCCTATTCATATACAGTTTACTCTGTTTTAAAATGTAGTCTGTGAGCTTACCTGGCTATTTAAAGCTTATACAAAGTACACTAGATACACACTATTATAAAAACTGGGATGAATGTTTTTGTTTGAATTGTGACATCTAGATGTAAAAAACAAAACAAAACAAAACAAAAAAAAAGAAGTGAAGACCGGGCAGCAGCTTCAGCAGAGAGGAATGATCCCCTGGGATTGTAAAATGGACAGTTACTTAAAGAGACCACACTTTGCAAACCTAATGCAACATAGATGCATATCTTAACTAAAAGTTCAGTTTGGGAGAGTAGAATTCAGATGTAGCAATATTATTTGCTCAGCATGTATTTTAGTAGATCTCTAAAGTGCTGAGAAAAGTTTTACTAAAAGTTTTACCATAAAAGAGGCATGAAAGATCTCATAATCTGAGGGATATCAATATGTAAATTATTGCAGTTATCAGACATGACTGTGGTGTGAACTGAGCAATGGTGTTAGAGAAGGAGTGAAAGAAATGAATGAGATGTGCCTTGAGGAGCACTCAACAATTGGATGTAGATGGCTTCTAGGACTTCATGCTTGTTTCTAGTATAGGGGTAGGAGTGGGACAGACTGTCACTAACCAGTTGTGAATACAGGAGTGAAAATGTTGATTCAGAGTAGGTAAGGAAAGATGATAAGTTTAGTTGTAGATATGCGGAGTTCGAGTTAATGGCTGAACATCCAAATAGCTGTAATGAGAAACACTTACACGTGTGAATCTAGAGTTCAAGAATCAGGCCAGGGCTGGAGGTAAGATTTGAGAGTCTTAAGGATACATGCTGTGGTCACCCCCATGGTAGACCACATGATTACTTATTGTGAGTGAATAAAAAGAGAATCATTGTGGGGGAGCATCAACCCTTGGGGAGACAAGCAGAGGGAAAGGAACCCAAGAAAGAGACCAAAACAAAGATACAAACAAAAATAGTTGGAGATGAAAATAGAGGATTGGAACTCCTTTTGATTATAGTGTGTCTTAATGTAGATTTCTTTGTTCATCTTGTTTGGGATTTTTTGAGCTTCCTAAACCTGGATGTCTATTTTCTCCTTAGATTTGAGAAATTTTTAGCTAGTTTCTTTGAATAAGCTTTCTAGTCATTTCTCTTTCTCATCTTTTTCTGCAACTCCCATAATTCATGTACGGAGCCACTTGATGATATCCCATAGCTCCTTTAAGCTTTCTTCAGTTTCTCATTCTTTTTACTTTTTGTGTCTTTGAATAATTTCTTTTTTTGAGAGAGATTTTTGCTATAGGGCGCATTTGCTCACCAGAAAGACAGAGAGAGACAGAGAGACAGAAAGCAAGAAATCACCCCCCAGGGGGATGGTCATGCTTCAATCCCTTCTTCTCCATTCTCCTCTCGGTATCTTGGACATGCATGCACACGTGTCCAGCATGAATTTAAGCCACCAGGCCTGGGACTTGAACTGTGGTTGAATACATGGGAGTCCAGTGACGTAGCCATTACACCAACTGCTGGTCCCAATCTTTGAATAATTTCTAATAACCTCTGAGTTCCCCAATTCTTTCTTCTGTTTATAGTCTGTTGTAAATTTTTTTTTTTAGTTCAGTCATTGTATTCTCTTTTTTAAAAGAAATATTTAATTTAACACATTTATTATTATTCAATTTGACCAGAAAGAGACAGAGAAAGAAGGAGGGAGAGTGAGAAGGCAAGATACTAGATCTGGGAGTTGCACCATGGTTGGCCTTATGGGAGTCCAGTGCCTTAACCACCATGCCACCTGCCAGCTCCCAGTCATTGTCTTCTTTAATTCTATGATTTCTATTTAGTGCTTTTTAATATTTTCTATATATTTGTTAAAATGCTCACTTTATTCTAGGATTGTTCTCCTGACCTTACTGAGCAAGTTTTTAAAAGTTCTTTAGTATTTAAAAAATCATGATAGAAAACTCATGTGTATGCATAAGAGAGAGAGAGTCCTGTTCACAGGATCTTCTCATGAATTGAAAGGTACATTCATCTCTTACAGTTAAAACTATTAATAGTAATTTAAATTAAGACTAGATTTGAGGGGCCAGCAGGTGGCAGGGTGGTGAAGGTGCTGGACTCCCACACGGTCAACCACAGTTCGAGTCCTGAACCTGGTGGCTTACTTTCTCACTTTCCCCCTCTGCAGCAAATGAAAAGTAATAATAAATAATGATAAATAAAATTAAATAAATAATTATTTTTAAAAAATGATTAAGTTTGAGGGGCCAGCAGATGGTGTGGTAGTTAGGATGTTGGACTCCCACATGACCAGCTGTGGTTCAAATACCGAACCTGATGACTTGCTTTCTCATTTTCCCTCACTGGTGAGTACATACTCCCTATAGCAAACTGAAAAATGATGGTAACAATAAGTAAAACTGGATAAGTGATTCTGAAAAAAGAAGATTAAATTTGAGACTAGTAAGTAGATACTGATATATATTCTCTTTTTTGATTCCTCTCAAGTCTTAGATAACCTCCTTGGGGTGTGATTTTTCTTTTTTTAAAAAAAAATAAAATAATATACAAATATATAATCTCAGTGCATCGCTATTTTGTCCTTGCTGTTGGTGATCTCTATCTATTTAAAAAGCTACTCACAGATTTTCGAGAAAGAAGAACATTAAATATTTCTTTAAAAGATCATTTAAGCTAGATTTCCCTTTTGACTGGGTAGGGGGAGTTTGATTGAAAGAAGCTACTGCTAACAGTTGAGAAGCAGGAAAGGACTTACCGTCATGGCGATCAGCCAGGATCATCACTTTGGTCATGGGGAACTTGGCTCCCAGCCGCCCTCCCATTGGCAGGCTCAGTGAAACACTGAAGGATTCCTCTTCTTCATAAATGGAATCATCAATGATCAGGACCCGGCAGGTCTTCTCCATCTCACCCTTGTCAAAGTGGAGGATGCTGGTGTGGTCTTCTGGACGTGAGATGTAGTCAGAGAAGGATAAAACTGTGGAAGGAATTGTGCCCGTGGCAGAACCTACAGGAATATGAGAAGAAACAAGGAGAGAAGATGAAATTCGGGGCAGGAAGCCCATTTCCTTCTGGTTTTCAAACTAGTTTTAGATAGCAGTTATCTGACTTATAAGGCACACTTACTTCTTACAGTCACAAATATTAATATTGTAATTATACGGCTTTCAGAATAAGGCCAGTCCATGGCACAGTGATTAAGCACAGTGTGTTGGAAGCTGTGAGCTACCTCTGTATGATCTGACCTTCACACCCTGACTAATGGCTCTTGTATGACACCATATTAAAGTCACAAAATTCCTTGTTAGTTTATAAAGAGCACAGGATTAATTGGAGGATTTTTAGTTTAGATTCGGTGTACTTTAAATTTTATTATAAGGTGGGCTAGCAGGTGGCGTAGTGTTTAAGGCACTGGGTTTCCACATGGCCACCTGCAGTTCAAGTCCTGGACCTGGAGGCTTGAAATTCATGCTGGGCATGTGGTGTGTGTGTGTGTGTGTGTGTGTGTGTGTGTATGTATGTGTGTCTGTGTGTATGCCCAAAATCCTGAGAGGAGAATGAAGGAGAAGGGATTGCAACTTGTGGGGAGAGGAAGTGATTTCTCACTTTCTCTCTCTCTGTCTCCAAGGAGCACATGTACTCTAGAGCAAAAATGTCTCTTAAAATTTTTTTATTATAATTTGTGTACATTAAGATTCACCACTGTATGGGACCAGCAGTTAGTGCAATGGCTATGTTGCTGGATTCCCATGTAGTCGACCGTGGTTTGAGTCCTGGATCCGGTGGTTTAAACTCATGGCAGGCGTGTGTGCATGCGTGCCCAAGATCCAGAGAGGAGAATGGAGGAGAAGGGATTGTGGCGTGGCCATCCTTCCTGGGGGGTGATTTCTTGCTTTCCGTCTCTGTCTCTGTCTGTCTGGAGAGCACACACACCCTATAGCAAAAACCTCTCAAAAAAAAAAAAGTGCAGCAGCTCGGGACCAGCAGAGAGCATAATGGCTATGTCACTGGACTCCCATATAGTTGACCGTGGTTCAAGTCCTGGACCCACAGGCTTAAACTCATGCTGGGCACGTGTGTGTGTGTGCCCAAGATCCCACTCAGAGAATGGAAGAGAAGGGACTGTGGCGTGGCCATACCCCCTGGGGATTGATTTCTTGCTTTCTGTCTCTCTGTCTCTCTCTGTCTTTCTGGTGAGTGCACAGGTCCTATAGCAAAAACCTCTCAAAACAAGAACAATAACAGCAACAACAAAGTGCAGCAGCTGATAGCTATTTAGATCAGGAGGACTTTGGAGTCCAGGCACAGTTCATTTCCTGTCCCAGGAGGGTCTTTGACTGGCGGGAAGTGAGGAAATGAATGGACATGGACGGAAGGGAGCCTATGAAGGCTGTGCTGTAGTGTAATTGGAGCTTCTATCCAGTGGAGTCTTTGGGATTCCTTTTCCCAGCAGTTTGGCCAGCTAGGTACTGTGGGATGCCCTCACACCACAAAATAACTAGAAGAAACGATAATGCTGTCTTTTCTGTGCACACAGGAAGAAAAGAAAAACACCAAGTGCCAAAACCAAAACAAAACAAAATAAACCCTTCAAAACCCAAAGTTCAAATCCCATAACCTAGTAGATTCCCATTGAGAAGCTGGTGTCCCCTTGAGAGGACTGTACGAAGGACCAGGCCTTGGGCTCACGGGGCCTTGTGGAGATGAATAGGAAATCCTGTGGTTAGCCCAGGCACCCAGGGCAACAGGAGAGTTTCTGCATTAGCAGTGCCCTCTGGATCCTGGAAGGAGCAAAGCAAATCCTTCTTAGAGGAAAACATCTTCAAATGAAGCCCCCAGATCTTTCACAGATTCAGATCAAGTATATGGGAAAAAATCTTTTTTCCCTTTTCTTGTTCTTAATTACCAGAAGGCACACATGCTTACCAGAGAGAGAGAGGGAGAGGGAGAAAACACCTCCAGTGGGGTGCAGTCACACTGCAATGCCTTCTTTATCTCTATCCCAGTGGGATTTTGGCCACGCATGCCCATGAACCTAGTGTGTTTTTCAAGCTATTGGGGTCAGGATTCCAACCATGGTCAGCCTTGTGAGATCCTGTTTCCCTTACCCATCTGACTATGGGGGGCCCTAGGTGAAGAGATCTTAAATGAATAGAGAAGACAGCATGTCAAACAGGACTTTTCCACCAAGGACAGACTTAACAAGAATGGAAGCCTGAAGACAGTGGAATAAGGACTTCAAAATGTTGGGAGAAAGTAACTATCAATCACTGAACTTCAAGACCAGGGTCAAAATAAAGATATGTTCTGATAAAATGCAGAGCTCTACCCCAAGTAGACTTACAGTAATGGAAACTTCTAAATGAAGTAATTTCTGCTGCAGGAAGAAGAAAACATCATCTTCCCAAACCCTCTTGAGTTGCAAGATGTAGCTTCTATGACCTATAAACACACCTATAACCAAGTAAATCAACACACCATATTCCTTAAAAGAAAAGAAAGGAGAAAGTCTTACACCTGGATGTGCTTTGCACCTTTTCAGAATAATCTGTTTTCTACCTCAGTCTTCACATGACCCAGACAAAATGTCCAATCAGAGAAATGGGGCTGGATCCATGGCTTGTGGTTTACCACATATTCCTCTTCAATCGGATAAAGTTAATCATTTAAAAACCTCAAGATATTTCACTTGGGCCTGACAGAAACCACAGGCTGATTTAACGCTGTTCTATTCATTTAGTTTAGGCCCGTGGTTTGTTCTTCATTGGCTGTTTCTACCAGTAAGAGTGGTTTCCTAATAAAAAAAAGTGACTAATGAGAAGAAAAAGATGGTTTGAAATCTACCTTAAGAATAAAATAGGGCCAAGAAATGTCTAATTTGCAGATCCTTACATAAGGTATACTTTAATGTGAAACATTTCACTATAGTGTGATTGTTTTTGGTTGGAATAACTTTACCTTCCAGAGGACGGTCATTTGGCAATGCCTGGTGACATTTTGGGGAATCATAGTTGGAAGTGGAGATGTTACTTGCGTCTACTGTGTTGGGGCCAGAGAAGATGCTTAACATTCTAAAATGCAGAGGCACCTACCACAAGAAGGAGCCACTTGTCTAAATTATCAGTAGTGCCAAGGCTGAGAAGAGGAGTGAGAAAATTATCTTGTACCCTGGAGGACAGAGGGTTTGGCAGTAAATGGGTAAATTATGTTTGACATGTTCAAAAGCAACTGTGAGGACCAGCCCTTGTAAGCACATTTTCAAGATCATGTGTTTGGCTATTTGCCTAGAGATGGACAGCCTCATAGCCCATTCTTTGACCAAGATTGTCTCTTGATAACACCAGATACTGCCAGTTTCATGTAATTTTAGTGATTCTTAAGTTAAAGGTAGTTGACACTATTGGGAAGTGAAAAGTGAAGAGGACCCAGCAGTTTGAAAAACATGCCTGGTGCAAGTGTGTGCATGCCCAAAGTCTCAGAAGAATGGAGAAGAGATTGTGGAGTAGCCATATGGGCACATACTCCCTATGGCAAAAGTCTGAAAACAAAAAACACCAGTGTTTGGGAGAGGAGGAAGGGCTAGAAGATTAAATTCTCCTTCATTGATGTGTCAACAAGTAGAAGAGAGTGGACTTTGAGAGACTGAATATGTGCATGGACAGTGGGCAGACCACATGTAAAAAGGGAGCTCTGACCCATGAGCTGCAGCAATTAGTCCAGGAAGCCAAACCACTGCCTCTGTAGCAATCAGCCCCAAATGGCCAGGACTTAATAAATGCAGGTTTCCCAATTTTTGCCCCCACCTCTAACTTGGGACCAACCAGAGGAAGCCAAACAAGCTCTCCTAGCCAATTCCTCTGGATGTCCTACTTCTACTTAGCCCACCTCCAGCTTCCCAGGGCAACAACCTCCAATCAGGCCATGCTCCATACCTTCCTTTCTTCCACAGCGAAGCTTTCCCATGGCTCTGCCTGCCTTGGAGACTATGCCAAATGCACTCGATGGTAGCTGACTCCCAACTTTCTTATTCTCATTTGGGTGGCCTTCATTTATTTCCATACGTTTATATATTACATAGTTATTAAGGAGTTAAAGAATATAATCTTTTTTTTAAAAAAAAGAATTATTTAACTTTATTATTTTAAATTTGCTCTAGGGTATGTGTGCTCACCAGACAAAGACAGAGACAGAGAGAGAGAGAGAGAGAGAGAGAGAGAGAGAGCTAGTCTCCAGATCTGAGACACAAACTGCTGTTGGTCATGTGGGAATTCAGCACCCTAGCCTCCATGCCACCTGTGGGCTCCAAAGAATATAATCTTGAGGGGATGGGAAATGAGACAGCTAAATTGTGATTGAACAGAAGAACCGAATGAAACCTTGCTTTGGGGAACAGGAACACCTGGGCTGTGGCTGGGCCATTAGCTGGGAATTAGAGGAAGGGAGAAGAGAGATGCTGAGACTACAGAAAGACTATTTTAGAATGTCCTCAGAGGTAATGCTGACTTTAAAAAATAAAATCCCTTATTTATGTTTTCTGCCTGCATTAATAAACTATTTTTATATAAATGTTTTTTATTTGACCTCACAAAACTGTTTTTGTCCCCTTGTTTGAGTAAAATGTGATCCCTTGGTCAAGGACAGCAGCTCAGAGGACAGAGGCCCCTGCACTAGGTCAACAAAGGTGATAAGTGCAGGGTAGAGGTGAGCGGCCAGGGTGTCCCAGTGCAACCTCTGCTCCCCCTACCCACACACCCCATGCTGTGCACTCCAGCACCACATCAGCGCATTCTCATCACCTACTCTTGCATGCACTGACCCCTCCAGGCCCATACCTTGATGGGTAGAGCAGACGACCATCAGTTCCTTGCTTGTATCTCCTGACCGACGTACAGGAATCAAAAACTCCCCAACGTCCTCCCTGATTTTGTATTCCGCCTCTGGAATATAAACTGTGGATTCTAGAAAAGAGGGCAGAAGAGTCCTCAGCAAGATTTGAATTTGATTAGTGTTATCTTAACACACCCAAGCAGAAACATGTGTTCTTTCAGGCCCCTATATTTTCTGACAGTACTTAGTGCATTAAATATAGTAAGAATGGGAGATATTTATTAAGTGGGAGGGGAGAGATAGTGACACTCAGTTTGGGAGAACCCTTTTGAAAGATTAAAATAGATACCCAACATTAAAATGAAAGGAAAATCTTGTAGCAATTATGTCTTTTATTTTTTGTTTTTTGAGGTCAAATTTAAGTCTTCAAGATAAACATGATATGTTTATGCCCTTGTTTTACTTTTACTGATTTTTTTTCTGATGCTTTTAACAATCAGGTAATGTAAATCATCAATGAAGAAAAAATGTTTTCCTGCTTTATTCAGCAAACAACTTACTCAATATTTACTGAAGGACACTGTAAGACACTGTGTTGGTTGCTCCATATGTTGAAAAAAAAATAAGCTACAGGTCCTGCTCTCAATTTTTAAAACAACATTCTCACTGAAATGTACTGAATTATGTATGTGTACACACTTGGGTGTGTGTGTATGTGTGAGTATGCACATATACTTACACATCATTAAAATATTCACTGAAATATCAGTGTGCATATCTGTCATATCTTCTTGATAAAATTATGTGCCCTATTTTTCTTTGGGATTTTAAATATTTTCCTAGACTTTCCATTTAGCGTGCATTGTATAATTAAAATATATGTGTTTGCTAAAAAAAATACATTTTAAAGTAGGTTGTTCCTACTTACAGTGTCAAATAAGGAACCAAAGTAACTGTCTGGATTAATCCAAATTGAATTTTGTAAGTTCTTGTCTCTATTATATATGTGTGTGTGTATACACAAATACATTTCTTCTTCCTCTTGGTGATATAAGCAAGATGGGAAAATATTGTAGGAGACCAGCTTGTCTTCCTTTGGAACTATTACTAAATGATAATCCAGAATTCAGTGTTAATGATTTAGTTATTCTATATTGACATTTTTCTTCTTTACTTTCTCATCTAAATTAGTTTTAATAGAACAGGTATCAACTTCTCAAAAAACGATGGAAAAAGGCCAGTGATAATTTTCTTTCCTTCATTTTACTCTCTGTGGTAGTTTTGATTCAACATCTGTCAATTCAAGTGGCATGATGAAGAAAGCTAAAAGTAAGCTGAAGTTCCCAATGTCATGGGAAAAATGTGATCCAACAGCAATGAGTTTCTGTCACACCCTTTATCTTCCCAATCTGCAAAGCATGCTCCTCTCCACCATACTAATCCAGATCTCCTGAGCTTTTCCAGACTCTGCTCAAGCCCTGCCTCCTCCATGAACTTCACTCGCTTGGGAGCATGGTGATCGCTTCCCTTCTCTACCTCAGAGCTCCTGTTTTCCTCACGTAGCTAACAGGTGCCCTTATATATCTCGGTGCTGTTATCAACTAAAACTGACCTGACCCCTGTTCAGTAGACCATGGGGGAAGTGTTCCCTACTTCTTTCAAATTTGCCAAAGGACTGATCATATAGAATAGTATTTGTCAAAATGATTTTCAATAAAATGAAAACTCTGAGGTTTAAAGGATTTTTCTTGGAGATGAAAAATGCAACGCATGGTCCAGTTGGGAAAACCAGGTGAAACAAGTGTTAGGTCCTTTACAGGAAAGTTCCTCAGATACCTTAAAATGTAATGTGATTTATGATGCTTCAAAAAAGATTTGACTTTCAAAATGGTTCTAGACTTACCTGGCCATGGGACATCTTCTACCTCTCCATAGACATTCTACAAAGGTTCTCTTACACAGTTTGAGACACGCTAACACAGGGGATTCTTCATAGAGTTTTGTGGCAGGTAAGGCCTACTGCCTACATGTAACTTATGTCTTTTCAGGTGCCTGTGAATTTTTTTTTAACTACTATAATAATCAGTGTATCTAATTAATATTCAGAGATGCATAATATTCCCCTCCCTACCCCATACGGAATAATCTATGAATACTTCCACAAATAGAGGCATGACTTGTGGGTAATTTTTTTTCTTTTTAATTTCTCTGGATCTTTGCCAATGAGTGAATGCATAAAATGAACTGATGCATTAAGAATATGATGCACAACTATAACAGATGTTCATGGAATACATGCTAATGTTTATGCATTGGCTGGTCCCCAGCAGCCTGTCTGGGACAGTGAGTATCCAGGTCTCCACCTAATGTGGCAAAGAGACTACAGGGGCTCCTAGAACATTGTGAAAAATGATGGGCCTGGAATGAGCCAAAGGATTAGCTATCTGGTGATGAGCTGGTCCATCCTATGGTATGCAGAACACTTACAGTAAGGGGTTGTATATATGTTATGGGAATGCTAGTAAAGATTTTATTTATTTGTTTTAGTTTGCTGTAGGGCACATGTTGCTTATTGGAGAAAGACAGAGAAGAGAGAGGGAGGGAAAGTGAGGAATCATTCCCCGGGGGGATGGCCATACCACAATCTCTTTTCCTCCATTTTTCTCTCAGGATTTTGGGTGCACACGTACATGTGCTAGGCATAATTTTCAAGTTTCTTTGTCTGGGATTCGAACTGTCAAGTAGGAGATGTGAGATTCAGCCTTTACCGTTGTGTCACTTTCTGGCCCAAGACTGTATTTATTTTAATCTCTTATATTTCTTTTCAAAAATGCTAAAAGTGAATGAAAAATTACTGCCTCAAAGGAATCCACTTGAAACCCTAAATGGGTATGAACACTTCCAGTGGTTTATGGAGAACTGAAGGAAGTAGGAATGACTGAAATGGGTCCATGAATCTGTACGGGCTAATAGATGTCTGCAGGAGGGGTCACATACCATCTCCAGGGTCTACAATTTCAACTGTTGCCATTTCTGGAAATTCCAATGCAGCCATGACAGGTTCAGACAGAATGATCTGGAAAGTCTCTGAAGCCTCATATGTGTTATCAGATATAATTCTCACCCTCCATGTGGCTGTAGTCTGCCCAGGATGGAATTGGACCTGTTCATTAGCTTTTCCTTGGAAATCTCGATCAGTTTTTGCCATTTCACCTTTGGTTCCAATGCCTGAATAAAAATCAGTAAATTATAAAGCTAAGTAATTGAAGAAATATTCCCTTTTCAAAGTGGTTTCTATTATTTATCAAAGTAGGTAACATTAAAACTGCTTCTTTTAATGCTCCCAAAAGACATTTGTAAATGTTCTTTGGTTAAGAAAGTGTAAGTAAGGCAAAGAAGAACTGAACTGAGTGGAAAATAGGGAAGAAGGAGTGACAGATAAGAAAAAAACAGAGAATAGTCATTAACATATTTAACTGAGCAAATGTTTACCGAGGGCTTTAGATAGACTAAACTCTTCCAAATGCTGGAAATTCAATGGCTAAGAAAATGTTCCAGTCTCTATAAAAGCTTGCAGTCTACAGAGGAAGATACTATTGGGTTGTCGGGAAGGTCATGATGCATTTTTGAACAGAAAAACGTGTCAAGACTTTCCCAACAACCTAATAGAATGTGAGCTCTAAGGAGGCAGCAAGGTTAAACTGCTTTGTACATGAATTAATTACTGTCCCAGTAATTCATCCCGCCACATAGAAGATATTCAATAAATAAGTTGGAGTGACTATTTTGTGTCTGAAAATTCCAGTTATGCAGATCCTTACTCATGGTGGCTTGCTTCTTCATGTGCTTAGTGATTTTTTGATTTGAGAAAATTCCTAGTAATTTTCCAGACAATTAGAGGAGTGTTACTGGAAATGGAGAGTGTGGGATAGATTTGAGCTCTGCTGAGAAATACAAATTAGCAACTTACTGACGATATTAAACAATAACACAATTATGTTAAAAATACCCAACGTGAGCTATAACAGTGAAAAGTGCTACCCTATCAAGACTCAATAGATCTTGCCCTAACTACAAAATGCAGCATTCTAATATTGCTTTGGTTTTGATTTTAACATCTCAATGAAGGTCCAATGAAAGCAGAATACCCATGCCTCAATATTTTAGGTCTTATAAAATTTAGACTCTGCAGTTGTGTGAATGTGTAAAATCAGATATGACCTGATACCAGCTATGATGAAAAACTTGACATAAATAAGATGAACAGCCAGTTCTTCTGCCTCATTCTCAAAAAATCTACTGGAGGCAACAGACGAGAGACCACTAGTCACATGCCACAAGCCAGGGGATGGTAAGTGCTTTGGAGAACCGTAGAGCACATGGGGACAGAGAGTGACAGAGGTGCTTGTTGAGATGGGGAGACCAGAGCTCTTTTGAGGAGCTTAGTCTGCAAACATTCATATGGTTCTGGGAAGTTACACATTTTTACTGAGCCAAGAGAGAAAATACTGCTTGACATGTTAACCCCAAACCCTGAGAAGGCCTTGAGATAAAGACTGTGGAGGGAGAACCAGACACGAGAAAGAAGGCACATTTCAGCTGGAGTTCCGGGAAGTCATGTGCACCATGTGCTGATGAAGTACGTGGGGTGCAGACTAAGGCACAAGGCCACCCAGAACTCAGGGTGCTCTTGGGCTGACCTCTTCTAGCAGAAGAGTCTGATTCCAGAAGCCTGGGGCCTGGAGAGGAGTCAAGGGAAAAGATTGCTTTTTTTAGTTGCTTGTTTTCTCTCCAGCCCTTTACCCTCCTGGCTTCTCTCCAACAGTTTTGATATGTTGGCTAGACTCTGAGTGGAGCCTTGCATGTCTGGGAAACCTGGAATGCTTCCTGGCAAAGGGAAGATAACATGCCCCTCTGTGTCTTCTCAGTGGGTTAAAAAAATAAAGGGAAAATGATCTCTGAAAGTTCTGGCAGTTGAAGATGTTATAAAAATGTAATGCATGATGAGGGCATGTATTATTTATTATTCATGATATTAATGAGTTGTATTATGCAGGCTTTATATGTGTTTAGCCCAAGGAGACTTCCTTCTGTAGTAGGTCTGTAGAGCACAGGAAAATTCGATACTGTACATTGTCCTCGAGGAACTTATAACCTAACAGCAGGGTTAAAACAACTATATATAATTTTAAAAAAATAGCTAGAAAAAATGCATTATGTACTCATAAATAATTTTTCAAAAGAAATAGCTAGAACTAAGTCTAACCATGTATTATAGTATGCTCAAAAGCAATTTTGAAGGAAATTGAGTGACTTGGGGATTGTGGGGTGGCCATGAAATATCTCAATTTTCCTGTAGTTCTTTGAGTTGGAGGAGAGAAAAAAATAATGGAATCTGCCAAAGAAAGGAAAACAGGAGAAGATGGATAAAAAATGGATATATCTCTCAGCTTCTAACTCACATGGAATAAAAACCACAGCACAATTTCAGATGTACTCTTGTAGGGGTTCTGCCAGGCCAGATATTGATTCTCTTTCCATCTACTCTCAGGTAATTATTTTAAAGTCTAGATTTTGTGTTTCTGTGACCTTTTGCCAACCACTAATCCAAGGTTTCTTACTGACGAAGGATGTTTCTCCAAGGTGTCCTCGCCGAGTGAGGGTCACTTCCAAGAACACAGAGTCCTCGTCCACAATGTAGTACTCTTTGTCCAAAGAAATCCAAGCCCAGTTTAGATGGAAAGGCTGATTTGTTAGTTTAGTTCCTCCTGCAGTGGATAGGGGTAAAGGAGAAGTGAGCTGGAGTATTTGATGGAAAAATCAATGATTAGGGTGTGCATTTTGCTTCTAAAGCCAGAGTTAAAAAAAAAAAATAAACACATGCTCCTTTTTTTTTTTTTTTTTGAGAGAGAGAGAAAATATCTTTCTGTTTTTCAAGAGAATGTTACAAACACCATCTTAAATGGAAAGAGTAAAGTGCCTCTTGTTCACAAAGGGCCTCACATGCTGGAGCCCTTTGGTAGTTTTAAATGTAACTCACTTTTGACACCTCTATCCTTTCCTTCCTGTGTCTCTCCTATCTTTTTTTTTTTTTTTTTTAATTTACCAAGGGGGTGCTTATACTCAGGATGGGGACAGAGAGACAGAGAAGAGAAGGAAAGGGAGAAAGCAGCCCTGTCTTCCCCATAGAAAATGGCAAGTAACAATCTTTTCGCCTCCATTTCTCCTGTCAGGATTTTGGACATGCATGCACATGTGCCTGGTATATTTTTCAAGCCATTGATTCTGGGACATGAGCCATGCAGTCAGCCAGGTGGAGTCCAGCTGCCTTAACCACCATGCCATAGCTCGGCTTATGGACTCTCTTCTGCTTCTCTCTCCCTAGCTCATCCTTCCATTCCTTCCTCTGCCCCGAGATTTACTTCTTTGTATTTTCTGTATATCCATTTGTTCTCACGTGGGTCTAGAAGTTTCTTGAAAACAAGGCTCACATTATATTTATTTATCAGTCAGGACCTACTGTGGTGTCCTGAATTCAGATGTTTAAATATTAAGAACTACCCAAGTAGAGAGCAGCAGACAAGGACCTGAGGGCTCGATCTCATTTCCTCTTGTCCACACCGGGTCATGGGGCTCTTTGTGGATGGTCAACCTGTCCCCTCAAGTGGCTGCACAGTGTGTGTGGATGGAAAGAAAGAGAAGGTCTCCTTCAGCTGCCGAGTGGTTGCTGGAAATAAACACTTGTTAGAGGGTGTTAAAACAGGACTCTATGACTGACAGACCAATATGATAGGTTTCAGATACTCAAACGAGTGTGACATAGACCACCACATGCAGTTTACCTAAAAACAAACCAAAAACACTTCACTAGCCAATTCCACAACTATTGGGCCTTTTAATCAGAGCACATCAAAAGGGGGCAGGTGTGGACAATGAAGGCGAATTTGTGAAGAAGCACATTAGAAAAAGCTGGTGCCTTGGTAGGAATCCCTATTAAAACCCAAGCAGGGTATGGGTGTAGGGTGGGGCTAGTTGATCTCCAGCCTAGAGGGAGTGGGCTTTGAAAGAACCTCTCAGAGAGCTTGACTCTTTCTGCAGTTGGAGGGCCGTGGGACTGGCTCGTTCTCTAAAGGGTTGGTGAGGAAAGGAGTGAGTGGAGAGAACTGCTCTGAGAAGTCACTGAGACGCTGCAAGGAGCGGGACGAGGAAAGCACACCTGTGGACCAGAGGTGGGTTGTCTACCCAATAGGGCAGTTAAAGAGGCAGAGGGCTTTAAAGAGCATAACCTTGATTTTTATAGTAAGCCATCTTGCTTCTTGTGACTGTTTTCACTGCAGATTGGTTAAAATATGTATTTTTTTATTAGTAGTATTTCCATGGTTAGTAGCATAGGAATAATCTTTGACAGAACTTGAATTCCATTTTTATTATATTTTTATTTTTTGCTATAGGGCACGTGCTTATGCTTTAAAGCTATCTTAACTAATAGTACTAAATACAATGAACCCCAGAAAAAAAACCTAAGAAACAGCTTGACTGCGCTTTGGTCTAAAGATACTAGTGGTTAGGCGCCATGCGATATCACAGTGGTAACACAACTGGACTCAGGTGGGTAAAGTCCTGGGTTCACGTCCTACTATCTCCCTGAGCACAACGGGCACACGTGTGCTCCTGTGATTGAGGCTGGCTGAACCCGGCGGTGGATCTCAATGTGATGACCATGTTTGGGGTGCTGCCACTCTCACTCTCTCTTGGTCTCTTTACTCTCTGTCTCTCTCTCATGGAAAAAAAAATACATAAATAAACTTACAAAAAAAAAAAAAAGCCATATCTTAAAAAAGAAACCGGTGGTTAAAAAATAGTAAGTACGTGCATTGGCAGAGCACCAAAACCAAAAAGAAAACAAAAACTGATTCTGATTTACTCTTAAGATTTTATTTAGCTTTATTTATTTATTTTAATTTGTCCAGAGAGGGACAGAGTGAGAAAGAGAGGGAAAAATGAGAAAGCAAGCTTCCAGGTCCAGGACTTGAACTGTGGTCAGTCATGTGAGAATCCAGCACTCTTGTCCACCACATCACCTGCTGGCCCTCTGATTCTGATTTTTAAAAAGTCAAAATATGAGGCCAGCATGTAGTGTGGAGGGTAAGGTGCTGGATCCCACACGGCCAACTTCATGGTTTGAGTGCTGAACCTAAGGCTTAAGAATTACGCTAGATGGGACCAGCAGTTGGCATAACGGCTGTGTCGCTGGACTCCCATGTAATCGACCGTGGTTCAGTCCTGGACCCAGTGGCTTAAACTCATGCCGGGTGCATGTGTGTGTGCGCCCAAGATCCAGAGAGGAGATTGGAGGAGAGGGGGTTGAGATGTGGCCATCCCCCCTGGGGGGTGATTTCTCGCTTTCTATCTCTCTCTCTTTCTGGCAAGCAGACACGCCCTATAGCAAAAACCTCTTAAAATTTAAAAAAAAATTTTTAAAAAAAGAATTATGCTGGATGTGTACATGTGCATGCCGAAAATCCCAAGAGGAGGGGGGAGGAGAAAGGATTGTGGTGTGGCCATCCACCCTGGGGAATGACTTCTCACTTTCCCACCCCTATCCATTGGCAAGTGCATGTGCCCTATAGCAAAAAATGAAAAAAAGGCAAAATAACTAAGTGGTAACATAGTAATAGAGCAGAGCAGAGTTGTCTCTAAGACGTTTTCTCTTTCTCTCTAAAGCAACCAAATCAGAGCATAATGGCCCCTGGTTGATTGGTCATACCCTGCAGATTGATATTAAACCCTCACTCTTTGTCCTGTGTTAAAGACATTATTATTTTCTAATTAAATGTGAACTTGAGTCCAAGGAATTTTATTTGATCCTGGTGCTGGCTTAGTAGATAATGCTTAAATCCTGAAGGATCTACCATTGCAAATGGCAGTTTACCACATAAATAAATATTCAGAAAAATGGTGGTGGTGTAACACTGTCTCTAAGTAAAAGTCACTGTAAATAGTAGATTATTTATGAATTTTTGAGCAATGTGAACATTGCCCTCTAGGAGTCTCCAACCCACCATGAAATAACACATACATTCCTGAAGTGTGAATCACAGCACAAGGCCAATATGATTATGGATAGAAAGGAATGGAGCAAAGTGAGCACATGGGAAGACTTCAAGGGAGGACTGGACTTGGAGAGATGGGTAGAATTTCCTCAGTGGAGAAGGTAGAATGGGCATTTTGATATGGAGGGAAAAGGAGACTTGGGAGCAGTAGAGGCAAGGAGCCATACAGGTGCACGATATGTGTGTGAAAATCTGTAACAAAGCAGTCTTAGTAAAATGTGTTTAAAAAAAAAATTTTTAGAGGGATTTTTGCTATAGGTTGCATGTGCTCGTTGGAGAGACTGAGGGAGACGGAGAGACAGAAAGTGAGAAATCACCTCCCAGGGCAGATGGCCACGCCACAATCCCTTCTCCATTCTCCTCTTGGGGTCTTAAACACGCATGCCTCGGTGTAAGTTTTAAGTCACCAGGTCTGGGACTTGAACAGTGGGCAACTACATGGGAGTCTAGTGATGTAACCATTACACCGTCTGCTGGTCTCAAAATGTTTTTTTTAGGCATGACAAGTCCACTTCAGAATGGGGTCCCACTTTGCCTGTTTCCAACAGAAGCTGTTTCTTTCACAAACCTTTAAAAAAGATTTAACTTAATGCATGCATTATTACATCAGTTACTGAAAAGATGCATATCATTCATTTTTCTGTAACACCCCCAAGTGTGGCATGTTACAGGAGCAAAATTAACATTCTTAGAATATTATTTAATTCAACAGTTGTCATATGAAAGAACTGTAATTTGCAGCGTAGTCCTAGGATGAGTAAAAGCATGAATCTTAGAGTTAAAAAATACAAATGATAATCTGAGATAGTATTTTAGATATTATTTTAGTGCTTGAAAAGTTATTTGAAGTTTGGGAACCAGCAGTTAGCGTAATTGCTATGTTGCTGGACTCCCACGTAGTCGACCGCGGTTCGTGTCCCGGACCCGGTGGCTTAAAACTCATGCCGGGCGCGCGTGCGTGCGTGCCCAAGATCCTGAGAGGAGAATGGAGGAGAAGGGATTGCGGCATGACCATCCCCCCTGGGGGGTGATTTCTCGCTTTCTGTCTCTATGTCTCTCTCTGTCTGTCTGGCGAGCGCACGCGCCCTACAGTGAAAATCTCTCCAAAAAAAAAAAAAAGTTATTTGAAGTTTATAGACAAAGTTTTCCAATCTTTTCTAGTCCCATCAGCTAAATAGATAAAATAATTCTCTATCCAAAGATCCCTTCTGGGGACCAGCAGTTAGTGTAATGGCTATGTGGCTGGACTCCCATGTAGTTGACCATGGTTTGAGTCCTGGACCCGGTGCCTTAAATTCACGCTGGGCGTGTGTGCATGTGTGCCCAAGATCCCGAGAGGAGAATATAGGAGAAGGGATTGCGGTGTGGCCATCCCCCCCTGGGAGGTGATTTCTCGCTTTCTGTTTCTCTGTTTCTCTCTTTCTGGCAAGTGCATGCTCCCTATAGCAAAAACCTCTCAAACAAACAAACAAACGAAACCCAACCAAACAAAAACAAACAAAAAAACAAAACACATACACACACAAACCAAAACCAATAAAGTCAAAGATCCCATCTGAGTGGTGATTCTAATGATTCTGATTGAATGATATCTTTTCTTATTTTCAAATAATTCTTTCAACTTTCTAATCCTGTGCAAAAAGGCTTTGAGACTT